AATTTACGTGCATGCATATTTGATATCCTATATTTTTCCTATAAAATAGTAATAATTCTTCTCTGCCTTTACAATGACGCTGAAAACAAAGCATATTTCTTTTTTAATTAAATGTATTTGAAAATGCTTAGTATAAAGTATCCCATTAATTGTCTTTTTTCTTAGTAACATGTGCATTACCTTAATACATATTTCCAACGTTAACATACCTTTTCTGAATGGAATTGAACGTCGTGGTGAAATTTTAAATGTTAAATGATGGAGTTCATAAATATTATATTTTGTATTAAATAATATTAATTCAAATTAAATACAGTTGATAAAAATACAGACAGGAATAACCATTAAAAAAAATACTAAAAAAAATAATTGGTACCGTTTCATCATTACGCTGTGCCTGATAAAAAACGTAAAAAATCTTGTTGAAGCTGAGGTATTTATACATGATAATGAACTTTTCGTTCATAATTAATTAAGAAAGTGTTCGTTTTTCTCGTCCCTCTCGTCCCGTTTCTTGACGATTTCCTCCTTGTAGATGATGTAGAAGTAGCAGGTGGCGGAGCACAGGATACAGTTGAGGAGGAGGGACACCCCCAGGGGGACGGCCAGACCTATCACGACCTTCTCTTCGTGGTCAAGATTGGCGTCCTTCTCCTTCACTGTTAATTAATAATAGGAGATGAAAGATGTACGGAAGCCCATTAGTGCAAACCAAAAATATATAAAGAAAAACGGAATTAATATATAAAGAAAAACGGAATTAATATATAAAGGAAAACCCAAAATATATAAAGGAAAACCAAAAATATATAAAGAAAAACCAAAAATATATAAAGGAAAACCAAAAATATATAAAGAAAAACCAAAAATATATAAAGAAAAACCAAAAATATATGAAGAAAAACGGAATTAATATATAAAGAAAAACGAAATTAATATAAAGAAAACGGAATTAATATATAAAGAAAAACGAAATTATTAAATAAAGAAAAACGAAATTGTTAAAAATAGAAAAACTTGAACTAAAATACGGAATTTATTGAGGTGCACGGTAAGGGTCTGAACCCATAAATCATTAGTGCACCGCGTCTGATAGACCTGATTTTGTTTCAACAATAAACAAGCGTGGTGTTTGCCTTTACATTCACCTTTTCCTATATCGAAAACACATCCATTACAATACATGAATGGGGAGAATTTAATCTTTGATATCTAATTGCACAACTATTTAAGAAAACATGAACTTTAAGATTCTAACATTCAGGAATCCCTTATCCATTATTCAACTATCGCACAATATATTCATTAAAAATGTTGTAAAATAATACGTTATCGATCGGACTTGGGTTTGTTTGACATTTTTAAAAAAATTGTTTAAAGAGAACAGGTGCAAAAAGTAAAACAAGTCAAAGTGGTTACAAGTAGATTTTTATGATTGTTTACTATATTAGAAATAAAGCAAATCACCTTCAGTTGATTCTTTGATCTTATCAACGCATAATTAGAGGTGATGTACTGGCTACTAAGTACTTGCTCTCATATATTATAAATGTCCAACTCTCAATATGTACTATTTATGAGTCAGTGGTACTATAGTTCTTGCTCTCATATATTTTAAATGACAAACTCTCAATTTGTGTATTTATAAGTCGGTGACAATGCACACACTTGTAAATAACAAATCCCACAAAGTAATGAAATCATTTTTCTTATAGTTTCAACAATCTAAGTTTTATGGGTACACAGATTCGGACGCTAGGTTTAGTTCGTGGGAATCCAGTAATACGATACGCAAGGTCATGACCTTCTAGCTGAGCTCTAATGGGCTTCTACAAAGCCCAATAGTGCAAACCAGAAATAAATAAAGAAAAAACGAAATTATTAAATAAAGAAAAAACGAAATTATTAAATAAAGGAAAAACGAAATTATTAAATAAAGAAAAAACGAAATTATTAAATAAAGGAAAAACGAAATTATTAGATAAAGAAAAAAAAAATCATTAAATAAAGAACAAGAGGCCCATGGGCCCAATCGCTCACCTGAGCACTGTGGCTAGGAAAAAGTATAGAAATTGGTTTATTATTAAAAAGTTTAAATCCAAAAGCAATCCAATGACCAATCATGGCTTTGGTATTATTAAGAACATAAATTTTAAAAGAATGTTCCTATATATGTCTATGTAAAACTTTATTGGTCATTGTGGCTCGCCCCCCCCCCCCCCCATCCAAGGGTCATGATTTGTACAAACCTGAGACTGCACAAGCTGAGGATGCTTTCATATAAATATGACCAATTATGGCTTTGCAATTCATAAGAAAAAGATTTTTTTTAAAAAAATTCCTATATATTTCTATGTAAAACTTTGGTCGGCCATTGTGGCCCCGCCCTACCCCCGGGGGGCATGATTTGAAGAAACTTAAATCTACACTACCTGAAGATGCTTCCATATAAATATGATCAATTATGGCTTTGTTATTCTTAAGAAGAAGATTTTTTAAAGAATTTTCCTATATATTTCTAAGTGAAACTTTGGTCGGCCATTGTGGCCCCGTCCTATCCCAGGGGGTCATGATCTGAACAAATTTGAATCTACACTACCTGAAGATGCTTCCATATAAAGATGATCAATTATAGCTTTGCTATTCTTGAGAAGATTTTTAAAGAATGTTCCTGTATATTTCTATGTAAAACTTTGGTCGGCCATTGTGGTCCCGCCCTACCCCCAGGGGTCATGATTTGAACAAACTTGAATCTCCACTACCTGAGGATGCTTCCATATAAATATGAACATTTATGTCTTTGCAATTCTTGAGAGGAAGATTTTTAAAGAATTTTCCCATATATTTCTATGTAAAACTTTGGTCGGCCATTTTGGCCCCGCCCTACCCCGGGGGTCATGATTTGAACAAACTTAAATCTACACTACCTGAGGATGTTTCCACATCATAAGTTTCATCTTTCCTGACACAGTGGTTTTTGAGAAGATTTTTAAAACATACCATCAAATTTTCATTAATTCCCAATTATCTCCCCTTGAATGAGGGCGTGGCCCTTCATTTGAAGAAACTTGAATCCCCTTTACCCAAGGATGCTTTGTGGCAAGTTTGGTTGAAATTGGCCCAGCGGTTCATGAGAAGAAGTCGAAAATGTGAAAAGTTTACAGACGGACAGACAGACGACGGACAAAATGTGAGCTAAATACGAAATTATTAAGTTAAGATAGCATCGTTGATAAGTTTAACAAAACAAAACGCGAGGATAAGGGTTCCAGTCACGCGTGGTTCATTCCACAGTGAGTGTGTCTTCAGCGCCAGACAGGGACATGCTGGACGGAGAATTTTAGAAATGTCCACAAGAAGAACAAAATGCCATTTTAGAAATGTGTTCTTGTATTGCGACGTCCTTATGAAATGAGGGGAATGTAGAAGTAAAAATAGTCACGAAGTAATCAAATCATCCTCGTTTTTGTTTCAACAACCCGTGATTTATGAATATACAGATGGGGCGCTAGGCTTATTCCGGAGGGAATTTTTTAATACGATAAGCAAGGTCTTGACATTTCAGCGATTCAAGCGATTTGAATTGGATGTCATTGATTTCAATCAAGCAGAAACATCCACCCTCATGATCCTCTATGCATAGTGCTACACATCAACAAATTACGTATACCGCTGAACAATTATTGACAATTTACTTCAAACATTAGATTGAAGTATTTGTTTCAGTTGATGTTTTCTCTTTCTCCCTCACTCTTCTTTTTATTTCATAATTTCGTTTATCTTTATTAAATAATATCGTTTTTCTTTATATATCAATTCTGTTTTTCTTTATATATTAATTCCGTTTTCTTTATAAATTAATTTCGTTTTTCTTTATATATTAATTCCGTTTTCCTTTATATATTAATTTCGTTTTTCTTTACATATTAATTTCGTTTTTCTTTATATATTAATTCCGTTTTTCTTTATATATTAATTCCGTTTTTCTTTATATTAATTCCGTTTTTCTTTATATATTAATTCCGTTTTTCTTTATATATTTTTGGTTTTTCTTTATATATTTTTGGTTTTCCTTTATATATTAATTCCGTTTTTCTTTATATATTTTTGGTTTGCACTATTGGGCTTCCGTAAAGATGTCACGAGGAAATACATAAATATAGATACACAAATAAATAATTTTTTTTTTTCAAAATAGAAAGGTAAACGTATTTAAATACGCTGATGAATACTTCATAGTGACATGAGCAGTATCTTTCTTCCTTTCTCTAGTTGGAAATAATTGGCCACAATAAGTCTTTTAGTTTTTTGTCAAAGCCACAAAAAAAACACACTTTCCTTTTTTTTTACCTCATTCTATTTTTTTCTATTATGAGGATAAAATGTTTTATGACAATTCATAGTTATAAACAAATAAACTTCAGAAATAATAACATATTTTTTGAGGATATGACGTGTAACTATGTATCACGAAATAATTAAGGGTACTTACCACAAACAAAAAAATGGATGCGCAGGTTGATATATATATTTTGACTGATTTTGATTTGTTTTGAAATAAATAATAAATCCCTGAAATATAAAGAAATCGTAGGTTTTCCTTGGTGCTTAGATTTGAGATTTAATTTTGCCTTCTATATAATTCCATACAAAATTTTGCACAATTTTTCAACTTTATGACAAAATCTTATAAAATTCCCCCACTCTACTTGGTAAACATTATTCAGGTTGTAAATTTAAATGTAAATCTATGAGAAATAATGCTGATTTCTTAAAAAAAAGTTTGTTTGTGTTATTTATCCTTAAAGAAATGTATGATTCATGTCAAGATCTATTGTGTTAATCTGATATGTTCCTTTGGAAATGAGAAACCTTAATAATATTCATTACATGATTTAAACAATTACTAGCATACGATATGGCGAATTTCCTAATTTTCTGAGAAATGTCGTACCTGACTTAAGTAGCTCTGTACAACCACAACATTCGCCGGTGACAGGGTTACATTTAGCGTCCGCTCCACAGAACTTCTCACATTTATCTCCGTACTGACCATAGGGACAAACTTTTAAAAAGAAAAAAAAGTTATACTAATTAAAACAAAAGACAAACAAAGACAAAATTCATAGTTACGTGAGTTAATATTGCTCACATTCTTTTTTCTATATATAAGAGAAGGTGTGTTCCATTTCGCCTTAACTGTGAAATTCAGGTAAGAAAAAGTTAAAAAAGTACTAAGGCAAAATGGGAATTTTAGTATTTGTAAATATTATCACTGGGTTGATATAAAAATTTAAATGATAAAAATTTTTAGATTGAATTTAACAGTTAATTGGAATTTATGAATACAGTGAATAAAATAAATCTTCATCATCTTAATTCACCTGAGAGCTCACTAAGGCGAAATGGGAATGCTAAATTTTACAGTTAAGGCCAGATGGGAACAAACCTAAGAGAACTATCTTTTGTATGGTATCATATCATTTCTTTTATTTATTTTTTTTTTAAAAAGGCTGGAATAACAGGAAAACGATACCTACCGTTCTTACAGGCCTGACCAGTGTACCCCGGCTCACATCCACTGACACACGTGCCTGACACGTGATGACAGGCCACGCCATCTCTACACCGACCACACTTAAACCTACACTCCTCCCCGTATGTTCCGCTAGGGCACACTAACGTTTATTTGATATTGTATTAATCATTTGAAAAAGAGTCAACACAGGTTCATATATCTTGATAATATTTTTTTTTGTCCTTGACAAGATACGTAGATCACTCTACACAATTACCCATACAGAAACTTGTATTATTGTTCATTTGAAATATGATAGTTCTTAAGACATATACGTAAAATGTTCATTACAGATTTAATTGAAAACCCAAATAATTGGGATGTTTTTCTGAATCCATAGCAATAAATAAGACATAAATTTTAATCAAAACTTAACCCAAACCTATTTGGACTGTTTATTTGCAGCTGTTTCTCTATAATAGAACGTGTTTTCCATGCAATATATGGAAATAACAAACATTATTAAAGATGAGAATTCACTAAGCAATGCAAAATTTGGGCAGAACTAACACAGACTTCCAATCCTTAGAGCTGGGATATCCTAAAAGCCACAGTTTAACCCATTATTTGATGTCACTACATCCACCCTCTAATAGAACCGCTGATGTTTTAAGTTCATGCTTGCTCTGCTCCAGCTTTGTATTGTTTGAATTGACACACGGTGTATTAACTTTATTACATTAAGTTATCTGCATATTTCATTCAACATCCCAGTATTCACTCAGAAAACAATATCCTACAGAGAGAGCGTCTCGCATGAAATAGGTTTTCGTGATCATAAGAAATGGGTGAGCTAAAATATTTCGATTTATGAATTTCATACACATGTTATTGAAGAAGTTTTGTCTTTTTAGCAGTGTTCTGTTTTTCACATTGACTTTACCTTTATTGCAGTGTTCTGTTGACCAACCAGGTTCACAACCTTTGTCACATTTTCCGGTCACGTGATTGCAGCCATCTTTACAATGGCCTTCACAGACCAGTTTACAATTTCTGCCATACGTCCCTAGGGCGCAAGCTGAAAGGTTTACGCCAGGAAATAATTTTAATTTTAATACACTCTTCTTTGAATAAATTTTACAGATTGAAATTTATTTTGATTGACGATATTAAAAAATATATTTTACACTGATCGCAATAGTTTCCCGTCCATCCATCGGTACAGTTCTTACATATGCCCTGTGTTGCGTCACAGACATTTCCAAGGCAGTTTGTTGGACACTGAAATTTACAGCCTTCCCCGTAAAATCCTGAACTGCAAGCTGTCAACATGAAACAAAAGTCATTTAATTGTAAACCTTGGTTGGGCTGGGAATATATATTAATATTCAAAATAAACTATAACATAGGCTAAAGGTGAAGCAGATTATATTATCAAACATATGTATATATCTATTATAATTTTTTCAACTCATGCATACCGTACCACAGTAAAATCAATATACAGCTGATTCTCAACAATGTATGTAATGACCAATTTAGCGTTTAAGTAATATTATTATACAAAACATATATCATAAGATCCTTTCTTACTGATTGATACTTCCTTTTTTGATACATTTCTACATAACAAATAAAACAGTTTAGTAAAATTCTTGGATTAAATATGTCCACACGGTTTGACCTGAACCTGGAACAGAAGACACCACATCTGTTCTGTATTTGGATGTTATACTGACAATGGACGATAATCATCTAATTAACTTAGCTAACATTTTTTTTTTAAAAAGATTGATCCAAACTTTCCATCGTTCTCATTTAGATAGGGTTATTAACTGAATCTAGTGTTTATATGTACACCAAGATCATGTTCTACTTAGGAACAATTTTCTAAAATGTGGTTATATATTGACAAACAAATTGATAGAAGAATGATATCAATTGTTTACTTTAAGAAAAATATTTTTATCCTATGCTTATCCCTTTATCCCGTTTATCGCGTGGATGTGACCCATTGTTTTTAGTCCTATATAAAACAGCGTGTGTAAACCTTGACAGCGGTGTATAAATCATGAGATGACAAATTTCTCATGATTTGAAACTTTTAATAACATATAAACACAAACACACATTATTACATATTGCCATTGTGCACCTCCTATTTTACATTGTGATCCGACACATATTTTGGGTTTCACGGCCACAGCAAAACATGGACTTTGCCATTATAACTATATGGAGGCGGGGGGTATCATTTAGTGAGTCGCTCACAGTACCTCTAGTTTAGATAGGGTTATTAACTGAATCTAGTGTTTATATGTACACCAAAATCATGTTCTGCTTAGGAACAATTTTCTTAAATGTGGTTATGTATTGACAAACAAATTGCTAGAAGAAGGATATCAATTATCTACTTCAAGAAAAATATTCTTATCCTATGCTTATCCCTTTATCCCGCTTATTGCATGGATGTGACCCATTGTTTTAAGTCCTATATAAAAACAGCTTGGGTATATCTTGATATCAGTGTATAAAACATGAGATGACAAATTTCTCATGACTTGCAGTTGGATATGATTTTAATCCAACTCGTGTTTTTTTTTCATATATTTTATTTTTTATAAAATATAAACACAAACACAAATTGGATAAAAATCATATCCAAATACAAATCCTGTTAGATCCTATGCATAAGTTATATTGTTGATACAATCACCTTGTCATCAAATACATTTTTCATGCCAAGAAAATGCCCTTTGACCTTGACCTTGGAGTTTTAACTACTTTTTAAAAACCTTATTGGTCACAACTTTTGAACGGTAGAGAGATTCATATTTGAAATATATTTCTTTATCAAGACCTTACATGACACAAAAACTTTGACCTATTGACCTTGACCCTAACACTGATATCTTGCCCACAAAGATACCGAAAGCGGGGGACCACAATTCTTTGAATTTGGTTGTTATATCTCTATTTTCATCGACCTCAGTATTTTCTCTGCTCTTCATTTGCAATCTCTTCTACTTTAGCTTGATTAGTGTTTGAAATATCCATTTATTTTCTCGCCCCAACGTATTTGATCTTCAAGAGCATGAGCTTCCTGATAGTGTTAGGCAACTTACAGAGAAGTTAATTAATTTTACGGGGATTTAGCATTCTCGTAAAGCAGTTGGAATTCATAAAGCATAAGGATGGTCTTAATATTTTTTTTCTTGTAATCAGCATTAATTTTAATGGTTGTAATTTATCCTTTGTATTTCAAACTTATTTGTACATGAGTTTTTTTATAGGACGATTCATCTGATCAATAATCGGTCACCAGGGGATGCTTACCCCCCTGTTACACATGATTCCAGCGCTAAAATGTTATGGGTCGGGATTTAATTCCCTTTCAACAGACTTTTGAGTGATATTTTAACAATACAGACTAAGAAATTGCTACTGAAAGTCAGCCATTAACTTAATAAGCGATTGAAGAGAATAATTTTAGAGTTTTATTCAATCTTTTATCTACCCAAACCTCCTCTTATTTTCAGCATCATTTGGTAAAAAAATTCAGAGAGTCCACGTACATGTAATCTAAATAATGATTCTATCTTGTCTTCATGTATCTATGTGATTAAATCATTATTATATTTTTCTAAAGAAATAAAACTTAAGCCACGAATTAGGTCTTTTTTCCTGATGAGCCATTTGTTTATTGAGAAAAACAATCTCCAAATTGTTTTGTATTGATTTGTTCCCATGTAACCCATGAATGAATCTGATATCGATTTTTCTCACAGCGTCTTTTTTTTCATTGTTTTGGTGTCATTTTGCATTTTTCCGACTTTCTCAAATAGGTAGAAAATGATTGCTCTAACGTTAACATTAATATTACTTTGTTGGTAGTTCATATTGAAATAGAGATTCACCTTAATGACCTACAATATCTGTGTTTAAAAAATAATTGAAATATAAATACAAATAAATCCAAGCCGTTTGTATGTATTCTTTATTATTTTAATATGACCTTCCCATCTCCAAAATGTTTCAGTGACTTCTATACAATTAGAGTACAAAATCTCCGTACAACTATTCTGTTTAATATAAACATCTCCCCTTTCGAAGTCGTAGTTTTTTTTTTAAATCAATAATTCTAAACAGTTTTGAAACGAAATGGTTGTTTACCAGCAATCCTAATTTCATGTTTAAGAAATAGATATCCATTGATTGATTATAAGTAAAAAAAAGTAAGGTATTTAATATTTTAACATGTACTTATCATTTTGTATATTATTAACAATAATGTTTGATCACACTTTGTGATAATTTTTTTTTTTTTAAATGCAGAAATATTTCAAATCAACTTTGAAAAATAGGTTTTCTTGTAATAGACATTTCATCTGGATTGTAATTCGGTCGCTTTCTCCATGTTTCTTCCTTTATATTCTAAAGGAATTTCTCTTTAATCAAAGTTTCACTTTCAGCATCATGACAAGTAAGTCGTAGTTATTGAAATACCGAAAGAATTAAGCTTGAAGCAAGTGAGCAAAATATGTTCTTACTGCTGTTTAATTACCATTCTAAAATAAATTTCTTTGATATACATTGTGTTGATAGGAGTTATCTGCCACCGATTTCTTCCCACTAACAGCAAAACTGTGCTAAGCTTACATGGATGAATAACTACACGCAGCTATCAAGGAATTCAACATCGATTTCTCTCACGGCTTCTCCAGTTTTATAAGTTGACTAATTAGGTTTTATCGCTATACATTTATTCTCCAGTGTTGTGATGTGAGAGCTTAGGAAGAGAAATCTAATCTAAATGTTAAATGTTTTTCTTTATTACCCTTGAATATTTGTAACGTTGAAAAAAATTCAATGCAAATTTAACAAAAATCAACTTGATTTTTCTGTTCCTTTCGGATCGCCTATCGATTTTGACGACCTTTATTCAAAATTACTGTCTTCGGGCTATTAAATATTTCATATTTCCTAAAATAATTAGGTCTCTGCAAATATCTTTGATGAGACTCAAACAAAATCATTTATTTTTTATTTTATTTTGCAATTTTAAATAGTAGATATATTGCTTTAGATCGAAGTACATGTAAATAATTGAGAAAACATCATTCATTATTCGCAAGTGAAATACGACAAATTTTTTGTTATCAATATTGATAGTTTGTTAGTTCCCATTAACATTTTAAAGTTTCCAACTAATTACGATACACGAGAATATGTGTCATATAAGCCACTGAAAACGCTGTCGTAAAAAAGCTGTCCACAACCGATTTTTTGCTATACGCACCGCGTGAAACGCGTACACGGCTGAATGGCTACACTTCTATTTTGAAGAATTTACGATCGATTTTTCTATTTAAGTTTCCGAATTTCATTCCAATTTGTAATTTGGTTTTATTGTTTTGACATGATTTTTTCTGTCTTTTTCAGAAGGTCATGATCATCAAGAGGTTAAGCAAATGTCAAATAGAATGCCTAAACCTCTTTGAAACCAAAGAAAATTCAGAACATTGTATTTCAATGCATTTGCATATATGGCATTTTGTTTATCAATTATATCTGGTAATAAATACTAAATGATTATTTAGGAAAAGAATATTTATTTTTCATAACTATATTTATAAATCCTTTGGCGCTCACATATGACTGTAGCATTTAATGCTAAAGCAGCAAAATATATGAATGCAATATTTAGTAAACAAGCAAAAATAAATTTGAAAATACAAAAACAGTCTGATCACACTTACCCAAAACGTATGTCAAATACACCATCAAATAAATCACAACACAAAGGAAAAATGGAATTTCCATGGCTTCACGATTTACATATTGAAAACAGCGGATAATTCAATCTTGATTAATGCTTCTCATGTACATTGAATAATTGCAAACTCTACGTTTTGACGAGAATTAGAAAAAGCTAAAAATAACGCACGTTGTAAACAAGAAACCTCGTTTTAAAAACAAATATTGATTACATCCTTTTTTCATCTCTCGTAGAGAGCAGATCAATTGGAACTGTAGTGACCTGAATATTTTTTGGTACTGCGTAGTAGTGTAAAGGATGAGAAGATAACTCTCTGGAAACGTCTGAAGTTAATACAAGCTTAGAGTGCTAGATGTTACTGATGTTTGTACTGAGGGGAAACAAGGCACTGCGTGCAGATTCTCACTTAGTTTAATTACTAGTCTTGCTCTCATTCAAAGAACAGCTGTTTTTTATCGTGGGTAATTCCGGTCAAATCCAAAGTTTTACTGCTGTTTTCATCAGAAAAATAATCTGAGTCGTTTTCAAATCTTCTGTGAATAAACAAATTATCTTCTCATTCTGGATACAATTAACAGTTATAAACATCAAAAAATAGTATTCATTCATATGCTTCTAGTGAAAGAGCAGCGAAATTGTTTTATTTTCGTAACAAAGAGATTTCATTAATCAGGTTTTAGTCTCTTTTTTGTAATAAAGTGTTAAAAAGAGATGTTTCTTGTGAATTATCCCCTTCCTTTTGCTTGGATGTTAAGGTTTGGTCAATTAAGTCGAATCAAATTATTTTTTTCTGTACTTTTGCAGAAGAGAATATTTGTCCAAGTCAAAGATAACCAGATACAGGAACAAAAAATACAAAAGAATCCCATAATTCGGGTGCGTGAGGTATCCACAGTCAATGTCAAATTATTTATTCTCAGACAACCTTTATAAGGACAGATAATTCATTTGACATCTTCCGCTGATCCCTTTTCATCTGCTTGTACATGTAAATGAACTTCCTTTAGAATGGACGAAGATACATATAGAAGCCCACTCTGCATGAGCTCAGTTTAAACACGATACAGGCTTAATTTTACCAATGAAATTGACCCTTCTTAAGGAAATGAATAATTATCAAATCCAAAAACAAATTATCAAATACAAATAAGAACATTTACTGAACCATTAAGAAATAACACAATGCTAGTGGAAAACAAAAAATGCAATTGAAAATAGAGCTGTTCTTTAGATATTTTTTTAAAAAAGAAATTTTAAGAGTTCTCTGTGATTATTACATCTACAGGATTTATCACTTATTGAGCCTTGAAGAATCATTGCTTTATTGAAAATGTATTTCTCTATTTCAAGACAAAAAACCAAATTCTTTTTTAAAGTGATTGTAGGTCCAAAAATCACTTAAACTACATACAATACTTTTGAATCGTTTTTTTTTCTGAAATTATCATTCTTTTTTTTCTTTTGCTCCAATCCATGGGCCACGGCAAGGTTTTAGAGTAGATATGTTTATTAAATAGCTAATAAAATATCCGATCTATTTCTAATAATCTGAAATTTCATAATCTTATTTCCTTGCCTATATTCTACCCAATAAATCATTTAGTAATTCTAGAATAAAATAAAACTTCCAGTAACTCATGAAACGAATATTAGTACATGTATTTAAACTAAACTAACATTTATATATCACGATAAAGATCCCTCCCTGCTCAAAGGCCCTGAGTGCCGAGCATAGGGCTATATTTGCAGCCCTTCACTTGCAATGGTGCTATTGGTGCAATAGTGCTATTGGTATTCAATCAATCGAATGGTTTAAATCATATTTGAGCAACAGGAAACAACTTGTAAATGTTAATAATACAAATTCTACATTATGCGATGTGACATGCGGAGTACCTCAAGGAAGTTTGCTTTGGCCTCTTTTATTTTTAATTTATGTCAATGACTTACAGTCTTGTATAGACTTAGAATGTAAAGTACTTTTATATGCTGATGATACTGCTATACTTTTTCCCACAAAGATCCAGATGTTATTTCTAAAAAACTCTCTTGTATGTTAGAACTCTGTCAAGATTGTTTAGTAGACAATAAGCTATCCCTACATTTGAGAGCATTTTATTTGGTACTCGACGAAAACTTGATAAGCTTAATCTTGAATCTTTTTCGTTATTTTGTAATGGAGTCAGAATTGAAACAAAAACATGTGTGAAATATTTGGGTGTATTTTTAGATAATGTACTCTCTGGTGAAAAAATTGTTGAAAATATTATCAGCAAGACAAATCAGCGACTGAAATTTCTTTTTAGATATAAAAATTGTTTTTCTTTCTTGTCAAGAAAATATTTATGTACAGCTTTAATCCAGTGTCATTTTGACTATGCTTGCTCTTGTTGGTATGAATTAAGGTTTGACAAAAATATGAAAAATAGACTACAAGTTGCTCAAAATAAAGTTATCAGGTTTATACTCAATAGCCACCAAAGGAAGAGAATTACTTTTGACGAATTTGAAAAAGTAGGCTTCTTGAATGTTAGTAATAGAGTTTCTCAACTCCGACTTAATCATGTGTTTAATATTTTTCATGAGAAATGTCCAAATTATTTATCTGAGCATTTTATTCAAAACTCTACAAGAACAACTAGAACAACTAGGTCCAGCAAGTTGAACTTTTTTATCCCAAGAATTGTTAAGTCAGAGTCGGATACTTTCTATTTTAATGGTATCAAGGAGTGGAATTCACTTCCAGATGAGATAAAATCCATCAAAAACAAGGTCTTTTCAAAAAAGAATTAAAAAAAAACACCTTTTATTTAAAATGCGCTCAATATCTGAAAATGAGTTTTTATACTATTAGTTTCTTAAAACATACATTTTGTGTTATTTATTTATGTTTTATTTATTCTTATTTATATCATAGCATTTAGTGCTAAGTAGGTTAATTACTATTACAATCTATGAGGACCCCATTGGAAATAAGCACATTATTGCTTTCATGGGTCATCATCGGGTAAATGGCTGTACTTAGTACAAACTTATATAGTTACCCGCTATTCTCTTTTAGATATACTGAATTAAATGTTTATCTTAAGTACTTGGTTTTTTTTATGACATAATGCTAGTGTTTTATTACAATTGTATTTTTTTTTAACGAAATTATGATTTCTCTGGATTCCATGTGCCAATTTTGTTCTTATATGTCTATCTTATGCTACATATATGACATGTGCCATTTCCTGAATAAACAAACAAACAAATGGTGACGTCTCCATATCAGTGAAATATTCTGGAGCGGGACGTTAAACAGTATATAATCAATCAATCATATAGGGGCTGTTGGGGACGATTTTCTCGATTTAGATTATTTATTTTTATACACTCCCAAGACACAGTATTTGTTTCAAATGGAAGTAGATTTTTTAAAATTTCATTTCTCTCTTTAAATTTCTCTTTTACCGGCTAAACCTTTCTTCCAATTGAGAGGAGCTGATTTATAAAATTTTCTAAATTTTCAAGGGCAGAGTCTATAACTAATTCCAAAATCTGATACTCTTGATCTCCTCCGATTCAAATCAAACGGTCGCCACCTTAATAACACAAAAGTGAAACATCCTAGCTTTTCTTTTTTTTCTTTTTCTTTTTTTTTCTTTAAATAGTTTTATTTTTTTGTACGTTTTGTATGCTGGTGATTTTTACAAGTAAAGAATGATTCTGTAGTATTATGGTGATATTTTGCATTTTTTTTGTTCCATATATTTTTATGTACTTTTAATATTCGTCTTATAAAGACTCCTTTGCGGACACTCATCAATGAGTTACATTTGTCTTTGTTCAGGTTTTATGTTAGAAAGGAAATTTGAATAGTTAGTTTTTTTACTTTGTTAAGAATTTTTTTTTTTGCTCTGTTGAAGGAATTCTCTAGTAAAAAAGAACAAACTTTTTAATTTTTTTTTTGTCTTTTTGTATACTGCATTACTTTTTCATTGGTTTATTTTGACCGAAGGGCATTGTCCACAATTAGGTATCTTTTCAGTTGTAAAAACAAACTTCTTCATGACATTGAAAATATCATTTGTGCATGCAATGATATAATATTATGCCATATGTTGGGTAGTAAATTATACGGAGATAACGAACAGTATTCAAGCTCAAAAATAAAGATTACAAATTATGGAGAATAGCAAACACCGACCTCTAAAACATCAAGTGCCATGGGGGAGTGACAATCCCCTGTCAAATGGTCACCCTCGCCACGTGCGTCATGTCTTGATCGGAAAATGACGCAAAATTCCATCGACAATTCAGTGCGTATTTAATGATTTAACGTAAGTTTATAAAACGCCAGTCAGCATTTTACATAATGATAGATTGTATTTGCTGACAAGGTCATTGTATCGAGCATACAACATACGAAATGGTGATTTAAAACGAAACTGCTGATATTCTATTTTCAGGCCTTTCACAAATAAACTTATGTTGATATTATGTTTTTCTAAACAAGTTGCATTTGCGTTAGAATAAATTAATCATTGTTTTCAGTGAAGAGAGTCTGACTTTTGATCTGAAAATAAAGCCAAGCACATCAAAAATCCATGAACAAATTAAATGTTAAACATACCTTGACCCTTTAAATTGTGCACAGTTTGAAAATAGTTTGAACATATACTAATATAGTTTAAAGATATGCTGAACATAATATGTTTAAATAAATATTAAACATACACCTTAAAATCCATTTTGAGAAAACTATACAAAAGACCCAAATTATATGTTTATAGCAACCATTTATTCAACATGTTATATGTAATTTTTTTTAAAATACACATTAAACATATGTTTTTGTTCTTACATTTTAACAACAATAAATCAAGCAAAAGAAAAAAGGTTGCTCAGCTTATTCCACCTGTCAAGAAAACTTATGAGACACCAGTACTTAATTCCTAGTGGAGGGCTAAAAATTTTGTCCTTTACTCGACACTTATGTCCATTGAGCAGTCAGGGATCTTTTTCGTGCCAGCACCTACTGCCACACGGAACCTCGGTTTATACGGTCTACATGAATACAGCAAAACATAAACACATTTACCCGAATGCAGGTTTTTCATCATTTATCCATTCTTAGTGGAGTGTTTAATGATTCATCATACGAATTCTAGTCTGAAAAACCAAAACAAACGTTTAATTCTATATTTTAACAAATCATGAAAAATGCAGGGGAGGGTGTAAAGTGTCGAATAAGTTCGGAGATGTAATCATTATATACACTGAACAGAACTCTGGAACTTCTGTGT